ATATTCTTGAAAACTATTTATTTTGCGAACAAAAAGTTGGTGCGATACAGAGTCCAATATCAATGAAATTAATTGTTTGGATGAAAAAAAACAAAATTTTGATGGTTTTTATTATTTTTAAATACCAAAAATAAAAACACAATGAAAATGAGCTTAAATGAAACAAAAAAAGCGAGTCTATTTTAAAAATGTAAGGCGTCGAAAGTAGAGATAATTGTGAAAAAAAATGCAACGAGTTGAAAGTAAAAAAGTTTTCTAAAAATAATTACTTCAGTAAAGTATAGAGAAGCCAAAATTTCTACTTAATAAAGGTAACAAAGTATTTGTACTTTGTTACTTGACACCTCTGGTTGTACTACAGTCTGACTGCGGTGGCCCCCGCCCCTCAGGAACCTCCTTCTCTTTAATCTGAGGCTGATGAACACATCAGATCCTGTTTAGCTTGTCTGAACAAACGGTTGATTCCCTGGAAAACAGAAAATTAATTCCACTGAACCCGGAGGGAGAATATTTATTCTCATATCTACGATGACATATAGTCTGTTTGCATTAAAAACTTGTTCTTGACATTTTTACTCCTTTAAAGCTACAGAAAACTGAAAGCCTGAACCATGATTATAATGTCTTTTTTTAATTTTTTTTTGTCTTTCTGATAGACGCCACTGAAATGTAACCAACACATGTTGCTTTACTTTGTTATGGTAACCTTTTCCAACTTGTTACACATTTATTGAATACTGAATTGTGTATTTTAATAAAATTCCTTAAATATATCTGAGCCTTATATAACTATTGGTGAATGCATCCGACAGTTCCATTATTTACTCACATGTATGTTGAAAAATTACTTTCAAATGTGTCAAACTGCACTTCTTCCATTGTTCTGAGAGAAACAAGTTTCATTTCCAAGCTCTGGTATAAATAAGGGACATTTTTAAAACAATAACTACAAACTCTGACAAAGTCTTACAACCTTAGATCTAGACACAAAAGAGATTGGATCTTTTTTATGATTGATATACAAATCAAAAGCAGATTCTGTTAGAATATTAATTCATTTGAGAAGATTTTACTCAAAATAAGTGCAATAATCTGCCAGTGCAGTAAGACAATTGCACTTGGTAAGACTTTTTGAAACCGTGATATATATTCTCAAACAAGCGGTCTGAACAATCGCATTGTCTTGTTGCACTGGCAGATTAATGCACTTATTTTTTAAAAAGCATTTTGATTGATCTTGATTGTTATATGAATCTCAAAACAAGTTCAATTAGATCTAAGGTTGCAAGACTCGGTTATATGGACTCTTTTTGCGGGGATCCAGCCAAGAACAAGCAGGTTTTACCTAGTAAATCTGAAAGTGATTGTATACATTGCAAAAACTGACATCTAGCATATTTTCCATTGATTTGAGCAGGTAAGTGGGATCTTTTGCCAATAGATTTTATGATTTACATATAAAACATACAAAACAATTGTTATCTCATTGCAATTGTTTTATTCTTAGATCAGTTTTTGGAGTGTATCTATCATATCCTTCTGCTTATATGAATAAGGAATTATTGATAGTTTGAGTCGCCACTTGTCAGCATATTTACTCCACGGCACACCTCCCTCCCTCATTTGGTGAGTAGTTTCCTGGTTATGTCATTAACGGCCTGCAAAGAAAATGTCAGGTGCTTTTAGCTGTCATCACAAATGGTAGATATAAAAAAAACTGCTGGTCAGAGTTGCTGAGAGCTCCAGTGAAAAGGCTTATGAAACAGAGGCCTCTAATTGCTGCACTTCTCTCCTGAGGCAACAGATTCGGCGCCCACGTTCTCCTGCTGCAGCTGCAGGTAGAGGGGCAGGATTCAGTGGGAGTCGTCCCTTCGTGGACGGAGTCAAAGCAGCCCGCTGTTAGAGAAGAGTTCTGTTCACAATGAGACACATAGCTTCAGGTTTCCTGGAAAGACGAACCATCCATAGCTTTTTAAGGCAGGTAGAAAAACAAACAAAGAAAGGAAAGCTTTGCTTTTTCTGTTAGTAAAGGAAGACTACTTTATTAAGGAAAGAAATGTGACAGCAGTTTATATTTTTATGTGCTTTGGATTCAAAATTACATCATTTATCAAAAATATCTAACTGAATATGATGCTTTTCAAGGATTGCAGAATAGATTGAAATTATTTGTGTGAGAGGATGTGCTTTGAAACTATTTGTTCTGTAAAGTGCCTGAAATTACCTGTGTTAATTGATGCTATATGAGTTAAATAAACTAATGGGATAAGTGATTTTGCCAGGCGGAAATGAATGAGTTCCAGGGGGTCTGTGTAGCCAGAGAAGCTTAGATCTGATCCAGGAGGCTGGATCCCCAGGGAAGAAAAGGAGAACTTGGTCCATGCATCTTACAGTGACTGAAGAGAAGCCAAAAAGGCACAAACCAGGGACTTTAAATCCAAACAGCTTGAGTGTTTTTAGGTGAAACTTATACCAGAAGGAGAGCTGGAACGGACTTCAGAGCAATGAGAGATAAGATTTCAGAACAAAAGCATCAATGAACATAATCAGCGTTAAGGAAACTAGAAACAAATCTCACACTGGACGGCCGCAGTTTACCACCTGGTTAATACCCAGGTAAAGATTGCACCATGACATGTGCAACTTGTGGCCACGCCACTGGAGCTGTTGCCAAGGCTTGTCAGATTTTTCATCACGGACACGGGCGCAGGAACACGCTGACACACATGCAGGCGCGCAGCTAAGTCCCCTCCATAGCTGAGATGTATGCATGTTTTGTTTATGGAGTTTTATATAAGGCTGACAGTGAAACTATTTCAGCCTGTATCAGCAGCTTTATCGGTGCATATTGGCAGTTGCAGCTGCCCCACTTATTGCAATCAGTCAGACATACCTGCAACCATATGCATAGCGTAGCACATGCATTTAGAAGAACATATTTCTAATTAACTAATTCATTAAGTGAACTCTTCAGTTTAATATATAGGTAAAGTCACCGACTAATTATATTAACAGTCAATAAAAGTCATACGCATCACTATTAATCCTTTTATTCTTTTTCAGAAGCATTACAGCGTTTTAGGGCCTTTTAAAGTAGGTTTACAGTGTAAGACTGGGAAAGAATTTCCAATTGAGTAAAATTATCTAACCTGCATCATAAATATTATATTATTTTTGTATTATTTACAGATAAAACAGGTGTATTAATTAATTCATGGTTTTATTTTTTAATGTCAGTCCTAGGAAGAAGCAAGAGCATATTTTTTTCACAATATCCAAGGTACAATGACTTAAAAAAAAAAACTAGAATTTTTCAAATTCTATTCAACTATTGGTCAAGACCACTTTACAAAGCAAGGGTCTAACTGCTTCCACAAAGGGCCCTGTGACTGTAAGTTTTCATTCCAACCAAATGGCAGCACAACAGACTCCATTCATCTTATCAAGTCTTCAAGTTAAGACCAGGCATGATGAAAGGACTGATCTGCAGCCAGAGCACCCTTTATGGAATGGGTACGCCTTTAAGACCCCTACCTTAAACCAAAAGTGAGCTGCCCGGGGGCTAAATATGACGAAATGGTGAGGCTGAGAACTTCAACAATTAAGAGACTTCAGTTAGTTAGTTTGTTTTTCAAATCTGGCAAATACTTTTAAATTAAAACACCTTTTAAACGGAAAATGTCTGTGTTTATGATTTGCCAGACACATGATTGGATAAAAAAAAACCTTCAAGATTCACATCTACAGCTGGGAAGATCATTAGTCTGCCCTCTGCTGTCTGTAGAGAATCTGTACTGTTCCTTCTGCCTTAGGAAAACACACTTAACCCACTCAAGGACCTGGTCATTCCTTGAATTGCCCTCTGGCAGGCGCATCAGGACAATAAAATCAAGGACAGGGTGAAGAACAGTTTTTATGCCAGGGCCATTATTCTACTTTATGGACAAAGCCATACAACAAATAAAAAAGGCTAGACATTAACATACCCATGCAATAACCACATGGGTTATTTGTCATATTTTTTTATTTATGTACTTTACGTTGTTAATCTTTTTAATTTCTATGCACATCACATTGTAACTACACCTATCTAAATGGATCAAAATTCAATAAAAAATCCAGCACATCTGAGAGAAAAACACCTTGCAAAGCTATTGACATGATCAAAAGTGAACATAGTGCACTATTTATACACACAGTGGGCATCACATTTGAGTATCCTGGTACATTAACACTTCTACTGGCATACTTCAGTGCAAGATCTACATTTATAGTAGATCGACATTGCTATAGTCTATTTTTCATTGCATTTAAATTTGAAATGCAATGAAATGCAATCTTTCTGTATGTCTGCTTCTGTCTCCTTGAACCTCAGCAGATGGCCGCTCACACTGAGCCTGGTCCTGCTGGAGGTTTCTTCCTGTTAAAAGGGAGTTTTCCTCTCCACTGTTGCTACAAGAATACTTGGTGGGAGGGATCGCTTTGGAATCAATGAATCGATGCAATCAGCTGGTTTTCCTTAGATAAAA